TTTTGTATACAACAGCCTGAGCAGCAGCAGCCCTGACAGCTTAGGCTGCTGGAGCTTGTGTAGCAGCACTGTGAAGTACATGATTTTTTTTTTTCTTTTTCTTTTTGCAAAAATAAGGGGTTTACGCCTGTCTTAAGTGCCGCTGTGCTTTGTGAACAAAGAAATAAGCAAATCTTTGCTTCTAAAGAGCTTAAATCAAAATTATGCAAATGTTATATTTATGACAAAAACAAACACTCCACGTTAAAGGAAGCTGCAACAAGAGTCGTGGATAGGAAGGGAGGAACAGAGGTCTTATAAATCCCCCCATACCACAGCATCCATAAAACCCCAACGCTCTCTTGTCACAGTGCTAGTTTATATATTGATCTGCGACATTAAAAATAAATCAGGCCACCTCTTTTTAACTTGAGCCTAATAAGGTGCCTCATACATACATTTATCCATAGTTTACAGCCTGGCCTTTGGAAGCAGCACAGAGCTTCTCCGCTGTTTAAAAAGACTCGGGCACCTAAAACCTAAACGCACGTGGGGCCACGCCGCCACCCCAGCACGCTGTAAGCCAAAGCTGTAACTCAACCCTCGGCTTCGCTGATCAGATTCGCCCCACAATGCGACACCGTGCCACGAAAACGGCAATGTGGCCACGGGCTGACAGGCAGCACCAAACATGGAGAAGGTGGCACCGGATCAGGGGGACAGAAACTTGGACAGCCAGGCTAGCAACCAGTGTTTACAAACACAACACGGGGGATCAGATGGGCCGGCAATAAATTAGGACCGGATTGCAGCGAGCAGGAGAAATCGCTGGAAATAACAAGCAGAGGCGAAGACGGCTCCCCAGCTACCCCTGGTTTCATTTCAGAGCCTGAACCTGGGGCGCACCAGCTCCCAGGCTGCTGAAGCATGATGGAAAAAACGCTATCTGACAAGTGAAACTAAATCATAAGCACTCCCAGCACCACTCCTCTGGCTCATAGACTTAACCACAGCCTTCCTAAAAGCTGCTTTGGCATACACTAGACTCCATGCAACCCTGGTCCAGCCCCACTTCAAAGGAGGGGAGGGGAGTTACGGTGATGGGGGGAGCTCCTCAACACACACTTCCCCAGGTGAGGTCTACTCCAGCCCAGCCACTCACTACATCCAAAAAGCAAAGGATTCGGGCTTCCTCTGTCTTCTAGCCCCCTTCCAGATCTGTTGGCAGAACAATTTGGGGACGGGATGTCTGCTCAGCAGGTCTTCAAGGCAGATGCTAACATTTCTCAGTGGTTGAAGACCAAAAACAGCCTGAGCAATCCTGCAGTACTCAGTTAAAGCCAGTGCAGGGTCCAGCATTGGAAGGCAGGAGAAGGGGCTGCCCACAACCTCCCCAAGGGGCCCTGCTGCTTGGTGCTGCCCAGTTACGGTTCTGCAGCTACATCTCTGCCAGCGCCTCTCACTTCAGGTACTGAAAAACTGCCAGTTGGAGGTCTACCAGAGAAACACAGAGGAAAGACACCTTCAGTATCCCACTTTTCTAAGAACAGGAAAACTTGCAGTCTACAACCATACATCTAGTTGCAAGGGCTGTACAACAGAATGACTGCCACAAGAAATGCAGGACCTCAGTGGTAACCTCTGCAAAGCACATCCTCTCACTCTTCTGCAGATGAAGGGTACCATCATGACCTGAGAGACTCAATAAAAGCATACTGGGAACCTGCAGCAAGTGTCAAAGCAAGCCCAGCATGACCATGTGCTTGCTGTGAGAAAGGCGAAAGTTCAGTGCAATATTAAGCTTTCACAGGATACACCCAGAGAAGAGGATCTCACAGGACCCTTAGTTCATGTAAAGCTATGAAACTAAACAGAGGAAAGGGGATAAACTGTCAGCCCAACCCATTCTCCTGTCACATTGTATTGGTTGGAAGTGGTAAGCTGTACAGAAAAATCAAGCTAATTAAATATATACAGTATGAGCTAAACAACAAACCCTCCCATCGTTTCTCAGTGCCACAGCCAGTCTCTGCCAACCATGGCTCCGAATGGCATCAACACCCAGGGGAGAGGAGATTCAATCTAGAGGGCAGCATTGTTATAAATGGGAGCTACCAAACAAAGTGAAGAAAGGGAAGGGTCCTTGGATGCTGCCTTAATTGGTGGCACTCGTTTCCCCCAGAGCATTAAGGGACAGACCATACATCACACTAAAACAGAAGCCTTTACAGGAAGATCATAATATAAACATGCATACATGTAAACACAATACTTTCAGATCACTTTCTAGACAAAGTATCTCCCTCTGTCCATTCTTCTGACCCCATACCACCAAAACAAGGCTTGAATGCTCCAGTTTTGCTGACTGGTCCATGACGCAATGCCTCAGACTAAGTGGCCTCCCTCGTCTCTCCTCCTCCCTTCTTCCACTCTCCCATCGCCCATCTCCAGCACCCATGAGTTCAGTTTGATACAGACTAAAATAAGGCTGCTAAGTAAAGGTCAGTCTGGCGAGCTAAAAGAGAAGTATACCCTCCTGGACCTCTGCCCCTTGGCCTATAAATACTCAGAGCAAGTACTGGGAGAAATTCTTTGTCTGCACAGGCAGACACCAGGAAGCACACTTCCTCCTCCTTCCAGTTCCCACCCCCTCCACTACTCAAGGACAACAGTCAGAGAAAAGCAAGCATCTTCCTGCTACCCGCTCCGTGATCTGTCCACAGAAAGCATTTGCTTTGCCTCTGATGACCCAAGGCACGCAGGCCTTCCTAGAGATAAACAGACACTTTCAAGGTTCAACCATTGGCAAGGCTGACACCAGAGCACACGCATGGCAAAGCGAACCATGAGGTTACGTGTGGGGAAAGAGGAGGATTACCTTTGAGGACTAGGGGTTCCTTGCCTTCTCGCTTGAGCGACTCCAGCACTATGTGGAGGGGTTGGGAAGGCATTACTCTGCTTGGCTCATTGGTATTCTCATCATAAACTATTATTTCTTTGGAAAAGATCCTCTTGAAGGAGTCCTTGCCTTCCCGGCAGGAGATCAAGTCCAAGACGGTGATCTTGCCCTGCTGGAGCCTTCTCCGGCTGATCTTATCAGAACAGTTAATGTGAACAGCCCCTTGAATGTGGCTCTTATTATACTCCATGAACGGCCTACAGTCAATAATGACAGGCCCTTGGTTCTGTTGGTGGCTCTTGCTGCATTTGGTCATCTTCTTCGCCAGATCGTTGGGGTAAATGATTTTGATGCTAGCGAGTTGCTTGGTGGTGCCCGAGACCGGGCTCCCCACCCCACCCAGTGGGCTCAAGCTGCCGGCATTCTCATTGCTGTTGACCATTTGGTTGGCAGGGCAGGCGGTGGAGGCTCCGGCGTTGGCGCTGCTGGTGCTCGCTTGAGTTTGGGCCTGAATGTCCTTGTCGTACGTTGCCACAGTGCAGCAACTGGCACTGCTGCATCCACAACTCAGGGAGCGTGCAGAGCCGTTAGATGAGGGCATATACGTGAGATTAGCAGTCTTTAGGGACACAACAGCTGCGCCGAGCAGACTGGAGTGGCTCTCACCGGCAGAAGAGGCAGATTCAAGATAGCTAGAGTCTAAACAAAGGTTGAGATCCTGAGGTCTCACTGGCCTCGAAAGTGCCACTACTACCCTGTCGTCTAAAGGAGATGGAGGCATGAGGAGGCTGAGCACTGGCAAGTTAAGAAGAACTCAAGATCACCCTGCAAAACAAAAAAGGCAGAGGGAACAGAAAGAAGAAAAAGGTGATGAAAACACATCATGAAATCACGTAAGCCTACAGATACAGTAACTTACTTTGCCAACACCCATTACCCACAGGTAACAAGCTAACAATCCCTTCTGACAGTTACCAGCTCCTAGTAGCTGCTAAAAAACCTTTTCCGATCCTGCAACAAACACTTCAGCTATCCGTGTGTGTGCGCATGGCACGCACAACACACACGACTAGCCCGGACTGTGCAGCTACACCCAGGAGGAGGCATTTGTCTACATGCAGTCAGTGCTGAGCTATTCTGAAACCCCAGGCTCTGAAGCATGCAACTGATAATGACAGAGAGGCACGTTCTCTGGTTCCCGTTGCTTACTACAAGGGAAGCAACTACTGGGCTGACTCTACTACTGGGAGGAACAAGCAGGATCTGAATGTGTCAGTGGTGATACGCAACTTTTCCAGCAAGCTAGAATAAAACTAGCTTATGAATAAATTCTCCGAGACGGTTACAAACTTGAACTCATAAAGCTAAACAGAAAACATACAAAGCTAAACAAAAATCAGGAAAATTGGGTTCTGGAAACGTTTACAAAAAGTAAAGATGCGCCTTAGGCTTCCACACCCCTGCTAGAGAGATTAATCCAGCCCCCGTTGAGTCCCCAACTCCAGGCCCAGGAAGGCTGCTGTTCTCCAGCAGTCCCTGAGCAGCAGTTCTCTCCTCAGCACGTTTCACAGCTTCTACAACGAAGGGTCCCCATCGCCCCAGCCAAGGTCACAGCCTGCCCAGCCTTTGGCTTGCCATTTGCTAAGAGACAGCACACAGGATTAGAAAATCTCCCTTTCCACTCGAGAAGGAAGGAAAACGAGAGCAAAACAACCTAAGAAAGCCCAGACAGTGCTTTCTCTGCCCCAGCAACTTTCAGAGCAGCTACGGCTCTCGCTGAAAATCACATCCTAACAGCAACTTCGCGAACTCCATCAAATCCCCCGAAACCGAGCGAGCGCTTGCAACACCGGTTCGCCTCCCCATCCAGCTTTGCACCGGGCCCGTTGATACGCGGCACGGAGATGCCCCATCCCGA